CGCCCCCCCCTCTGCCTGTGCCACTTTGGGTTTTCCCCTTCACACCTGTGGTGTGTTCAATTTTTTGCATAGGGTGCGGCAGATTACGTGCCCCCCATAGCTGTGCCGGCCCCTAATCTGCGGGGCCCCCTGTCCCGCCCCTCATGCTGCTGCCAGGTCCACAGTGTCTCATGCATGTGCCACTTTCAGGTCTCTCCACTGCGGGTGGTTCAATTTTTTGAATGGGGTGCTAGCAGATTCGGGCCTCCTATAGCTGCGCCGGCCCCCTAATCTGCATGGGCCCCCTATACCGCCTCCTATGCTGCTCCCAGGTCCAGAGTCTCTCATGGGCCCCTGTACGGCCCCCCCATTGCTGCTTCCCCATCGCCAACTTGCCATGTGCCACTTTTCAGGTTTTCCTCACACATGTTTGGTGTGTTAAATTTTTTTGACATAGGGTGCTGGCAGTTAGGGCCTCCAAGCTGCGCCAGGCCCCTAATCTGCCAGGGGCCCCCTGTCGCGTCTCATGCCATGTGCCACTTTCAGGTCTCCTCACACACTGCTGGTGTGTTCCATTTTTTTGACCATAGGGTGCTGGCAGATTACGGGCCTCCATAGCTGCTGCCCAGGCCCCTAATCTGCCATGGGCCCCTATTCAACCGCCTTCCTCATGCTGCTGCCAGGTCCAGAGTCTCTCATGGGTCCCTGTACGGCCTCCCCATTGCTGCTGTCTCCATCGCCACACTCTGCCATGTGCCACTTTCAGGTCTCCTCACACATGCTGGTGTGTTCAATTTTTTGACATAGGGTGCTGGCAGATTACGGGCCTCCCATTGCTGCTGCCAGGCCCATAATCTGCCATGGGCCCCCGTACCGACTCCTCATGCTGTGACGTTGCAACAAGGTGGAATTCAACCACCATGTTAGACCGCCTTTACGAACAGCAAAAGGCCATCACAGATTCCTGATGTTAAAAGCGGATAAAGGTACTCCCTGTGTAACTTAGATGTCAGCCATTGGCAGCTCATGCGTGACACCTGCGCTTGCTCAGGCCCTTTGAGGAGGCCACGCTATTCGTGAGTCGGCAGGACTATGGGATGAAACGACGTCATTCCTCTGTTGCACGTCCTGGAACAAATGCTGTTAACAATGGCTGGTGAGGGTGCGGTAGACGTGGCGCACAGATCTCAACGCCACATGACCCCTGTGGGGGCAGGACAGGAAGAAGAGAAGGAGGTAGAGGAGGACATTGGTGCTCAGGAATTATTGAGTGAAATGGGTGGTTTTTTTCCACTCAGCAGACAGGAGTGGAGGAGCAGGAGCATCTGGTAGAGGAGGAGGAAGAGGAGACAGAGGACCCAGACGCACTGTGGCAGTATGCTGTGGAGATGGAGGCAGGGAGTCCCTCGCATTCCTTGGCACAAATGGCCCATAGCATGCTCGCTTGCTTGCGTAGCGACAGCCGAATAATAACCATCAGACAGAGGGATGACTTTTGGCTGTCCACCTTGTTGGACCCTCGCTACCGTTCAAAAATGGTGGCCTTTTTCACACCTGCTGAGAGGGAGGCCAAAATAACGTACTATAAAAACCACCTATGTAGTCAGCTGGTCTCTGCCTGTCTGCGCCAACGTCCATCCTCAGACACTGTGGGCCCTGTGCGCTCGCGTTCCGCTGCCATGGCAGCAGGGGAGGGGTGGGGGTGGTAGGAGCAGTGGCAGCTCCACCAGCAGCAGCTGCCTCAGTCTGCAGTCGATGATGAGTAGCTTTCTTCACCAGCGCAGTGAGGAAACTAATAACCAGCCGCAGCAGCAGCAGCATCAGGTGGACCTGGAGCAGGACCTCAAACAACAGGCTTAGGCCTACTTGGACAGCACCCTGCCAACCGAGGTAGACAATCCCCTTGACTACTGGGCAACGAAACTTGACCTTTGGCCCCAACTAGCTGAATTTGCCCTTGAAAGGCTGTCATGCCCGGCCAGTAGCGTGGTCGGAGCGCGATGTGTGTTTAGTGCGGCAGGAGGTATTGCAACTCCGCGGAGGACACGACTGTCCACCCAAAGTGTGGAGAGACTCACGTTTGTGAAAATGAATCAGGCGTGGATTAGTCTGGATTTCAAACCACCAGTTCCTGACACAACTGACTAAATCCGCCATGAATCATGCCCCAAACATGTGCCACTTTCAGGTCTCCTCACACTGCTGGTGTGTTCCATTTTTTGTCATAGGGTGCTGGCAGATTACGGGCCTCCCATAGCTGCTGCCAGGCCCCTAATCTGCCATGGGCCCCTTTACCGCCTCCTCATGCTGCTGCCAAGTCCAGAGTCTCTCATGGGTCCCTGTACGGCCTCCCATTGCTGCTGTCTCCATCGCCACACTCTGCCATGTGCCACTTTCAGGTCTCCTCACACTGCTGGTGGGTTCCATTTTTTGTCATAGGGTGCTGGCAGATTACGGGCCTCCATAGCTGCTGCCAGGCCCCTAATCTGCCATGGGCCCCTATACCGCCTCCTCATGCTGCTGCCAGGTCCAGAGTCTGTCATGGGTCCCTGTACGGCCTCCATTGCTGCTGTCTCCATCGCCACACTCTGCCATGTGCCACTTTCAGGTCTCCTCACACTGCTGGTGTGTTCCATTTTTTGTCATAGGGTGCTGGCAGATTACGGGCCTCCCATAGCTGCTGCCAGGCCCCTAATCTGCCATGGCCCCCGTACCGACTCCTCATGCTGCTGCCAGGCCCGTAATCTGTCATGGGCCCCTGTTGTCGCTTGTTAGCATATTCCGCTCGTTCAGATGCTCCTTCTCCTGCTACTCCTCTTCATGGATTCCGTCAGCAGTCTTTCTTGGAATCCGTTTCCAAGAGACAAACAGTTTGCGAGCACGCACCCGACGGTGCAGAAGCTGAACGTCCTCCTGTCCAAGTTGCTGCTGCCAGGCTCGTAATCTGTCATGCGCCCCTGTATCCCGCCTCCTCATGCTGCTGCCAGGTCCAGAGTGTGTCATGGGCCCCCGTACCGACTCCTCATGCTGCTGCCAGGCCCGTAATCTGTCATGGGCCCCTGTACCGCCTCCCCATGCTGCTGCCAGGTCCAGAGTGTGTCATGGGTCCCTGTACGGCCTCCCATTGCTGCTGCCAGGCCCGTAATCTGCCATGGGCCCCTGTACCAACTCCTCATGCTGCTGCCAGGCCCATAATCTGTCATGGCCCCTGTACCGCCTCCTCATGCTGCTGCCAGGTCCAGAGTGTTTCATGGGTCCCTGTACGGCCTCCCATTGCTGCTGTCTCCATCGCCACACTCTGCCATGTGCCACTTTCAGGTCTCCTCACACTGCTGGTGGTTTCCATTTTTGTCAAAGGGTGCTGTATGGCCTCCCATTGCTGCTGCCTCCACCGCCACACTGTGGCTCCACACTCTGAGTGAATTGTGCGGTGATTCTAAGATCGACGGCACTCATCTGCATGTCATACTGACTGTCAGTATTATTTCTCTTCCCCAGCAGACTCCAAGGGCATTTAAATTAAAGGTACAGTGTTCTGCACTAATATAAAGTCTCTCTGAAGCCTAGAAAAACACCTTTTTAAGTTAAATTCGCAGCGAATATATTCGACTCGAATCGAAATTTTTTCCACAAATTCGCCGAATCAGTCGAATCGAATTTTTGAATACTTCGCTCATCTCTAATTATCACCCCTAATTTTAGTGATTAATAGCGGCGCATGACATATGCAATACATTAAACTCTAATTAGCATTCATGTGTGTCATTTTCTGTCTACATTAACATTCCTGTAACATAAACATAATGTGCACAAAATTAAAAAACATATATGTGACTAAAAACATAAACAGTGATGTTCCCAAAAAATTATATATAATATAAATAATAAGTCCCGTGATGAAAAATTAAAGTCCAATATAATTTCTACAATGTGAGTCCACTTTAATTTCCAGTGAAAAAATTGTATCAATACATTGAAACCACATGCTGTGCCCATCATGCATCCCCTCTCAGGTGTGCACTCATCAGAACAAAGCCTTTAATTAGCCTGACCATAAAAGTATCCAATTGTTGGGATCAAGAGGTTCCTCAAAGAATCACCCTTATCATGAATGGTTGCCAGGATCATAGTAAATACTCCACTCCATTGTTATATAGAAAGAGAAAAAAATTCCCTCCAATCGTGTATTAAGGTAAACAACTTTAGTAACCTAAATATTGCACTTGCAGCAATTAAAAACTCAATACGCCTTTTAAAACATCATTCAGTGACTCAGATGCCGCATGGTGCTCTCACCACCTCCGGATCTGCTGGACAGAATGCCGTCACGTCACTTCTGGTTACGGATCTGTGTCACTTCCGGTCCACCTCACCATCACAAGCTGACGCATTTCGTCATATCCTGACTTAATCATAGAGAAGTGACGTGACGATGTTCTGTCCAGCAGATCTGGAGGTGCTGAGAGCACCCCCAAAAAATTTTGTCTGAAGCAGTTCCTGGAGTGATACCTCAATTGGAAAATATTGGAATATTGCATAATTTATATATTTACTATCAATATGTTTTCATTTAGATGGTTTTTGTGTATAGTACTATATATCATTGGCTCCTGAAGAAGTGGATAATGTCCATAAAATACATTGTGCTATAAAGAATCAGCACTTTATAATATGAATGTACTATTTGATCAGTAGTTGATTTTAATGTTTGTATTTTGAAACTTTTTATGTTTATGCACAGTATATTACAATGAGATATATACTATTTTATTATGAGATATTTTATATAACATGATGTGCGTCCAAAGTCCCTGATGGTACATTTTTTCTTCTGTATTTCTTAATATTGATATATAGGGATGTGGCATGATTTCCCTGTCATATAGATTTCTTACTACAGTCAAGTTGGTTGCCACAGGGTATAGATGGTTGGACGCTCTGTCTGATTTCTTTTTCAGCCAGAAGTATTACCAAGAGGTTAGAAACAGAGATGCTGATGCCCACTCAAGAAGATCTTATTACCCTGGGACTACCTCAAGTGGACCCAGTGTATGTCAGAAGGGGTACAAGCTTTGTGTCAAGGAGTTGAGCATCATGAAAAAGGAGCGACAGGGGCTGAGGCTATTGAGGTTTCTGCTGCAGGTGTTCCCAGGCTGCAACCTCACCCAAGTGAGAGATGAAGGCCTGTCTAAGCTTTCTAAGAAAGATTTGAGGACAGACCATATGGAAGATCCTCTCTGCAGTCTGATTCTGAAAGCTCAGGAAAGTGGATACTACAAAAGAAGCATGCATGGTCTATAAACAATGGGATTGACTAAAATTATGCAGAGTGGTCTACTGATGGGGACTCTTGAACAAGTCTGAAGACTAGTGGCCACGGTCAGAAATAAAGAGGAAGAGCCCTTTCTTCATTACGGGCAGCCTTAAGAATCCATTCAGATCAAGGAAGAGACTTTGAAAGCCAATTCATCAAAAAGCTGCTGAATCTGTTGGGTCCAGAACAACCTCCTATCATCCTCAATGGGATCCTCAGACAGAAAAAGGTTCAACCACACCCTTCTAAACATGCTTGGGGACTCTTACCACAGATAAGAAACAACACTGGAGCAGGCACATCTCAGCAGTTGTGCATACTTACAACAGCACCGAGAATGAGACCACAGGATATGGTTATGTTTGGGAGATAAAATCCACTATACAACCATATTATCCACAACCTCAATGGAGTAAGTCAAAAAGAAAGTGCTTTTAATGTTGTCCAGAATAATCACAGGAAATAAGCATAAAGAACACTGATGCATATCATCATGAAAACGTATTGGGATTGCCTGAGGTGCCTCTGATGACTCTGATGACCACTTGTATGGATTGTACAGTCTTCTTCCTCAGCTGCAGAGGAAGATGAAAACAGTAAAAAAGAAGATGCCTGTATGGACTGGTTGTGGCCATCTGTGCCTATGGATGTCACCCCACCCAGTACTTCTGCCAAGAGCAATCCAAGGACCCTCAAGTCTTAGGCCTATGAACCAGAATGTCAAGAAGAACTTTCTGAGCCACCATGTAAAGAATCATCCCTTGAACCAGATGAAGAATCTGCCAAAGAAGGGTCTCCTGAGCCAAAAGAACAAAGAACTAAAAGGTCAATCTGCCCCCCAAAAAGTCAGATTTCTGATTCAATCAGAGGAGGAGGAGAGTATATTCACCACTCGAAGGACTCAAAAAATACCAATTATTTCCACAACAGCTTCATTGGAGAATAACTCTGGATCACCACTTGACACACCTAGGTGGGCCATCCTGATATCCATGGTTTAAAGTCAAGGCAACCAATTTCCTTAAGGGAGGTTGCTTTGCTAATTGATATAACAATGAATATATCCTCTATCCTTTGAATATAAGTTATCTGATTCCTTAAAATGATTGATGGTGTTCCTTAATGTTCATTTAGGATATTTGATAGGTTGTGGACACTTGGGTGTTACTGGACTTAATCCATTCTTTGGGGACAAAATATTTTTTGTGGGGGGAGTGTCTAGCCAGGTGCTTAGCTGGCCAGATGGAGACACTGTCCTGCAGTGGTTTATGTGCCTTTACAAGATTCTTATGCCAGCTTTCAGTGTCATTCAACATCCATCCAGGCAGCAGACGGGTGAAAAAGAGCCAAAGGGGCAATGTCTACAATTCCCAGAGAGAGCATTTTCAAAGGAGGAATGAGTGAGCAGTTTTTTCAGGTTGACTTCCTCAAACTTTCTCTTGCTGTGAGGGTGTCAATGGGTACACATGCTCTACTGTGTGCCAGTTGCTGTCTGAGACTGGAGTGCTGAGGAGCAGCATCATCCTAAATGCAGAGAAAAAGGGATCACAGATCTGAATGTCCAGACCAAGGTTTGCTGTGTTACTGTGACTGGTGAGCAACTGCTGTTATGTTTGATTTTACCGCTGCCAATAGAACAGGAAAAAAGAAATACCATCTACCTAGTAGTTTCAAAATCACATGACTATACAGATGTGCACCACCATAAAGACTGGACCCCACTGATAAGCCTGCTAAAGGTTGCAAGTCAGGATCCAGGTACCACCAACTCCTTCACAGGGACCTTGAACTGAGTTAGTAATAGCCAGAGGTGTCTCTCTTTGGTTAAATATTCACACCCACACACTGCTGTGTTTTCAGAAAGGAAAGTGTTAATAGTTTATTTTTTATCAATTAACACAATGGAATATAAATAATGCAGACAGGCAAGTACCGTTCTCCAGGCAACCGCCAAACCCAGACATGTCTATCGGATTGCCAGACAGAGAAGAGTGATTCATCACTCCAGAGAACACGTCTCCACTGCTCTAAAGTCCAGTGGCAGCGTGCTTTACTACTGCATCCGACGCAGAATTGCACTTGGTGATGTAAGGCTTGGATGCAGCTGCTCGGTCATGGAAA